GAAGTTCATGCAGATGGCAGATTACCTGTACGGCTATTTAGTCGACAAACCAAATGTAACAGATAGAGGCTAAGTGAATGAAACAGTCTGGAATATAATAAATATACAAACGAAGTGATTTACATAAATACAATCAGCCCAAAAAACCAAGATTATAATCTAAATAACATGTCAACAGGGAATCTCTCAGTCATATTTAGGATTAATTTCACAATAGAGCTTAATTAATTTAATAACAATTATATGCAAAATACATTCCATTACATTTATTTAATTAGTGTTGTGTCTACTGTCCTACTACACAAATCTCTACCTCTATACGCCAATCATATCAAACAATAATTAGTTGTAAGGAGGTGAAATGAATAAATGGAGGGAATTACAGGTCAACACTAGAGCTCATAATTAAAAAATATTGTTTGTTAACTGTTGTTTGCCTCACCCGACCGACCCGTCAAAGAACGGCCGACGCAAAATGTGATGATCTTTTTTTTAAAACAAATGTATCACTGTAACATTATATAAATATGTAGGCAATACATATATGTACCAAGCAAAACAAACATTCAAATAAAAGTATCTCCACACAAGCACACCCGAGCATGTAGATACCATGCTGAATTTGTAAAAAGACCCTCGCCCTCAAAAAAAGCCGTCCTACCTACCCAAACTTTTCAGCCTGGGTCGGGTGAGGGCAAACAAAGATTTTTTTAATTGTGGCCTAATGAAAGTTGTTCTCGCACCTGTGCGCAATGCCCATGTCCAGCCCTGATATCTTAGCTTTTTTCTTGTCTGCTGCTATCATTCCTTCTTCTGTTCCATCAACATAAATTCTGTAGCCTATGGTAAAAGATAATTACTTGGTATCACCGTCGGTCAGGGTGTGCAAAAGCAACAGGAATATTACGTATTTCCAACGTCAGTCAACAATCCTCACACACGGGCTCAACGCAACGTATTAGCCAGCAAGCCGTGCAGCCGTGATTTGCAGGGTCAGTTTTGAAACTGCACCGCCACAAATGTGTAGCACGGCCTAAAATATTGATCTAAAGACACACATACAAAAAAAAAACGATTCATACATGTTCACGTGTGGTTGTATTTTCTTTCGTCAGGTTCATCACTTGCAGGAGTTGCTCATGTCTGTGTCAGGGATGATGGGCGGTGCTTCAGACATGACATGCCACGTCCCCGCATGCAGTAAGGACGCCCTGCTGCCTCCGCCACCGAAGCAGCTGAAGCTGATGGTGTCATCCAACGATTCCGTTGTGCTTAGCTGGCTGCCAACGGCCCCTGACATAAGCAACCCAATTCAAGTGACAGGTGCAGTATAACACGAGCACGACCGTCTGTACTGGTGCTGCCAGACTTGGGCACATGTACGGAGTGCAACGAGTGCTGCACATTGTAGCAAGATATCACATTGAGCCAGGGTATTATCCAGGGATGAGTATTGTGGGAGTGCAGAAAAATATGTGGGAGTGCAAACAGACAACGTCAACAAGTGTATAGTTTAGTTACTATTCACCTCGACGACACTAATGGAATCTGGTTCTGGCGCAGCTACCATGAACTTCCATAAATGGGGCCGCTTATAAACAATTCTATAAATACCTGAAAAGTTTAAATTTCAAACATATGAACTTGAAAATGCTCAAATAGTGAAACCTTTTGATATAGGGAGTCCTGCGGAGTTATGTATTTAAAGCAACTGCTGGGACATGTAGAATATTAACACTGAGTATACTTTATATTGACTAAACAAAACGTCACCACTCATGCCATGGTTTATATTAGTGATGTCACGGTCATCGATTATACTCGAACAGTGGCTCGAACCAAGCGCTTGGTTATCAAAATACATAATCAATTTCATCAAAAAGAAAAGAAGAAAACTTGGAAAAGTGATGAGAATTAGAGAGATCATCGCTACTATACAAGTTATCCTTTATTAACATACATGTATTATACACACAGTAGTAAACAGTGTAAAACAAACAGTAAACAGGGCTAAACAAGCACATACATGCACACACGTACATGCACACGACGTTACGCACACGCAGGCATTCAACACACCGAGTAACCGATTGTAACCGATCATCGGTTACTTGGGTCCAACCGATGATCGATTACGAAATTACAACCGATTGACAACACTAGTATCAGTATCATCAGGAGTAAGATAATATAGGATTCCTAAGATAATATAGGATCCTATATTATCTTACTCCTGGTATCATCACAGTGTTAGTCTATATTATGACACTCCTGATGAGATTCATTTTGAGCACGGAATGTTTTAGCCTCATATAGCTCACTTTTAACTCGTCCAGAATTTCATTGTCAAATTTGTTCCCCCATATGCTTGTTCCTCCTTTTCCTGTACCTGTAAAGAAATTTAATAAAATTAATATTAAACACTTTTTCTATAGCACCAGGGTTAGCGCCAGGCCTTTATAACGCATGTCGGGTCTGAAATTACTTCAAAGCGGAAAATAATTTGCATCATCACATTAACCTTCCTAGATATCTTAATTGTTTAATGTCTTAACTTTCAACTGTGTTTACTTTTGATAATCCTGACAAAGTCAAGCTATTTTTACAGCTTGTTGTATGTCTCCGAACTGATCGAGTGTGCCTGTGTTGAAAGGCAGCTTACGACACACGTAATTGACTCCAATTAGCAATTGAGAATGAATTGGTTGATTGCCTGATAATGTGTCTTCTGAAATTTCTGGGGAGAACCCTGAGCACTATATCAGGGTGTGAAATTAACGGGATTCCGGAGTCAAATACTCCCTGATTTGACATATGCAGGAGTCCGTGTGACTCCCTGAAAATTCTGCCATACTAATTAGTTCGTTCCAGAGCACAGCCTCGCGGAATTACTGTATTTTTCAAAAGAAAATTTGGCAGACGTGCAACCGCACGAATCATAAAAATAAGCACATGCGTTATCGTTAATATCATTAATTTTGAACCTCAGACTGCGGACTCCCTCATTTTGCTGCGGACTCGCTCTTTTTAAAGGTAGGGAGTCCGTTGGACTCCCGTGTTAAAAAGTTAATTTCTACCCCTGCTATATTATATAGTTCATTATCAATGCAAACACGCAGAACTCAATACTGTCCGTAGTAACAGTACCAATAAACTATATATATATAATAAGAAATTAAAAAATTTTCATTTCATTAAGGCCCCATAAAAAAAGATGTTAGTTTATCATCCCCGCCCGCATCACTTTTTCCGCCCGCATCAAATTTTTTTTAATTTTTTAATTCAGATTACCGGTGTTGTATTCACACACCGGTTTCAAGCCAATTCATTCGTTAGAGTGTTAGTCCTTCTTGACATTAACAATTATAAATATTACCTTACTTTTATATAGCTTACCTACTTCTTTATACCTGTGTCTCTTTTAAAAAGTACCCTGCGGCATTTTGCGCTACGTAATTATTGCTGCGATTTCAATTTTCCAAGAACACACATTTTCACGTTTCACTCGACGCCATTTACATTTTTGCTGGTTAGATGGCGGGTGTATTTGCGGAAGGTAGTCTGGTACCCGTCCCTGCTCTTTTGTAAACCTTACTTTACAAAAAAAAAAAAAAAAACCCGCCTCCCTCATCACTTTCTTTAGATGACAAGGATGATAAACTAACATTTTTTTTTATGGGGCCTAATAAGAAAGAAAGTAGACGAGTCTCTTTGCGGGCAAAACAGAAACTGCATACCTGTTGGATCACCCATTTGAACCATAAATCCTTTTATATTTCTGTGAATGATCGTATTATTGTAGTAATCACTCGCACACAATGCTAGAAAATTCTGAAAAATGACAAAAAAGCTATGAACGTAGGCAGGCTAACTACACAAGATCCTGTCACAAGATGTCGTTCTGACTATACTGCCAACGCCTTATATAATATAATATCACTATTCAAAATACTACAACAATATTCATTGCAAATTATACAGCAACTGTAATGTATGTATTGCTGAATCCTACCTAAATAAGTAAAATTCCTTTTTAGTAAATAGGAATAGTATAACTCTAAGTAAAAATTCCTACCTCACAGGCTTTTGGACACTGATCGCAGAACAACTCCACCTTTATATCACCAAAGTCTGTGTGGAGAGTAACAGACTGCAAACATAACCAAGTTCAATCTGTTTATTTGATCAAAATAAAACTAAATGCTATATAGTGTGACAAAATTTTAGATATAGTCGCAGGATAGATCTATTGATGATGATTGATGATAGTCTATCAGCCCTCCGGCAGCGCCACAGATACAAGCAAGAACCAGGGGTATTGTAAGACTCGCTCTGATTGGTCCGATTGTTTGTAAATGGCGAACGTAATTTACTAAAGTTAAATGAAGCGGGGTTTCTGAAAAACAATCTTTTAAGAAGTGAATAACGATTGAAGTGAATGTATACACTTATCAGTAGCAAGGTTAAGCCATGTAGAAGGGAACGGTAGGTTTTTTTTCCGCGCCAATAGCGACGTACGGGCCGCATTCGCAGCGCATGCATTTTGCATGCGATCTCACAACATTTCAATGAACCCCGTTCTGTCCCAATAACCCTCACCAAAATATAAAAAAGGTTATATGGGACAGAATTATTCGGTCTAGGCTTACCCCCGCTTAGGGACAGCTGCCGCCATCTTTTCACAGATTCACAGATTCTCTTCGGACTAGTCTAGGTCTCCTCGGAGAACCTCTACTGTCAGCTCTATCTTTGTCTCGTTAAGTATGAAAGCGAATGGACTGCCGTACCTCCAGCCTCGAGACATTAAGATACGGCTGCCGTACCCGTAGCCACAGCCTAAGTGAGTAAGTGACTAATTAAGTTATATCCTTGGGCCCTTACGGCCTTTAAGTTAGCCTACTTTAGTTTAGGCTATGTTTGATTGAAGTTGGCGAGTTGTAATGCCCTTTACAGAACCTGTCCGTAACTGTGACTGTATCGATCACTACCACAAATCCCTAGACCTGACCAAACCTAATCTAATCGCGCAACTATTTTATGCCATGAGTCATGAGAAACATAGACTCATGAGAAACATAGGGTCTACCTACCATTTCGAAATCATTGACTAACGCCAAAACGCCACGCACGCCAGTACCTATTCATTATGCCACTGCTCTTTTGTTTAAACTTAGATGGCATTTTCGTCACTTCGCTACGACTGCGTTCTATGTTCTATGTTTGCACTATTTAGTAGAGCTTCATGGTGCAAGTCTATGAACCACGTGATAACAACAATGATCACGAGTTCATGCGGGGAGTTCATTTTCAGTTGCAGCTAGTTTTTCGTTTTTAGATCAGTTCTGGTTTCGCCGCATGGTTTACTTCATGTTGTAGAGATAATGAGTGTCGCGATGAAAGTGCATGTTCGTTTATTCTTCACATTTGTCTGTCTTATTTGGCTATGTCATCGTGTTTCAACACAAAATTCTATCGACAGTGGAAAGCCTCCAAACATCGTGTTCATTTTAACCGATGACCAAGATTCGATGCTAGGGGGAGTGGTAAGCACTTCTTACTAAACCCTGTAATTTGTAAAAAGCACTCACTAAAGCAAGCAGTCATTGTAAGAGGCGAAACCTAAAACCAAGTTAAATATGTTCGATCTGCTAATAGCAGTGGTATTGGCTGAATCAGTGAATGTATTTAGCGGTACGCGGCCATTCCCATTCAACTTTCAAGTCCCTACCCTTAGGCTATGGCTATTACTATTAGTATTAGTATTACTATTAGTAATAATAGTATTAGCCTATTGCATTCAAGCCAAGGCCAGGGTGGCGGGTGCTGGATTTTCATGAAGGGGTTGGTCTTAATCATGCTGGTTGGGCGGGCTTTGAAATACAAATTTAGAGAGATTCTCACTCGCGTCAATATAATTAGAATAGAAGGGAAAGAATTGCGTGTGTATATCATATGGGTTCAAGGATAGAGAACATGGGTCCCAATAAAACCAATGTCATTTACATCAATTTACATGCGTCTAAACAGAGGAATTGCTCCGACCTGTGATTGGAAGATAAAAATAGAATTCGGGACATTTCGTTTCACCGGTTAGCTTATGAGCGATACCGCGCGTGCATATTTGCTCATTAATTGTGACTAATCATGCTTCAATAGACTCAAAATTCACAGAGATTAAGGCTAAGACATGTGTCTATAATAGCTAGAATTTATAGAAATGTAACTCCAATTGTTAGCGCCATATGATAGTTAGTACACGTTCCTACCGGCCATATAGCCGCGCGTATTATTAGCCTATCGCTCATAGGCTAATAATACAGGGTTCTCCCTACGTTGCGCAAACGGGGCGCGCGCGCCTCGTTTGGGAAAACTCCCCCCTGTTTCAATCGTTGCGCCCCGTTTAAATTACCTCCGCCCCGATTAAATTCCACCACAATAAAAGTTTGACAGCGCGGGAATCGATCGTCAAGAATTCCCATTCGACCAGGAACACCGACGCGTGTATTTTTACCGACCACATGCACTGCAGACCATACACAAGTACAAACAGTTAACCTGTACCAAACCCAACACTAACTGTACACAGACTCGGCTATCTTATATATATACAAGAACCCCAAATACCGTCTATGGTGTGGTGGCGATTTTACGCATTAATTAGTGGTACGGTAAAAAAAACATGCCTCCTGGACCCCCCTAGTTTCCCCTCCTTTTCCCCCCTCCTTTTTCCCCTGCACCGCCAGGGGGCAGTTCTCTGCCTTCACGTTCGGTTCGAAGAGGCGCTTCTGTACCATCGTCCTCGTCGTCGGATGCCTTTCCTCCGTCCGTGTCCTCGTCGCCGTCGTCGCTGTAGAATTCCTCGTCTTCGAACACCTTCTGCAGCAGCCTCTGCTCCGCTTCCTCCTTCGACAGCTTCGTGCCCCGCGGCTTGTACCGCTCGCTCCGTGCCGCCGCCTCGCGACGCAGCTCCGCGACCGACCGCGGCGGCGGCGGCCCCTCCTCCGCTCCGCCGCTGAAGGCGATGCCGCGCCGGCACAGGTACGCCGCCCACAGCTGGAAGACGAGCTCCCTGAGAGCTGGCGGCGCGCCGGCAGCGAGCAAGCACTTCGTCTGCTCGCGCAGGACGATCGTGAACGCCTCGTAGCGGCTCAGCGAGCGCAGCCGCCCCACGCTGCGCCGGGAGCGCGAGACCCGGGCGCGCGGCTCCCGCGCGACGCTGACAGCCTTCAGCGTGAACGGAATCGGCTCGTCTCGGTCGGCGATCTCCTCGCGCACTTCCTCGCGCAGGTCCTGCGACTGCGTGTGGCACAGCGTGCAGTAGTAGTGCCCGTCGACGCACTGGAACTCGCGCTCGCCGCAGACATCGCACTCCGGCATGGCGGCGGCTTCGCACGATGCTGTTCGCCGATGCTGTTCGCTTGCGGAACGACGTGGTCGCTACTCTTGCTCGCGATCCCTGTCACGCGTGAGTTTGTTCATCGCTGCATCGCACCGCCGCCACGGATGGCGTCCCACGCGTTCGTTTACACATAATACTGTCGCTACTCTCATGCGAGGCCGTGTCATCACTGCGGCGTAATGTTCGCCATTTTGTTGCCAGGATTCATCACCGCAGTTTTATCGATTCCTCGTCGATTCGGCAGATATCTTATCTGCCTCTTATAGTCTCGCAGGACAGCCAGATAATTACGACGACCTTTGTTGGCATTTCTCATTCGTTATATCAGTTCCCGATGAGCAGGATTTGCGTTTTAGCCGGCTAGAGGATTGGCATGAATGGTGACTCCCTGCAGGCGTATGTCGGTCTGTGGTCTGTAGTTCTTCTGACTTACTGGCTGTTTTTCAAGCTCTTCCAGCACATCCCAGCCGTCTATCACTCTGTAACACATAACACCAGCCTTGAACCTAGTGCATGATCCTCCAAAATTCAACTACCTCAACAAAGAAACGTAATTACAAGTTACATGCACTCTGTCAGTTTAACACGCGACACGTGACACGCGTCATTTGATGCTAACAGATGGTAATCAACAGTTCTGCATTAATTACTTACTTTCCAAATATGGTATACTTGTGGTCGAGGTGCGACTGCTTACTGTAGGTGATAAAAAACTGTGACCCATTTGTATTTGGTCCATTGTTAGCCATCGAAACAACACCTCGCATGTTGTGCTGCAAGAATATATTATTAATCACAGGTTAATCACAGGTTTATCTGTTCAACACTTTTCAAACTGCTGGAGGCAGTTTCAAAATTTAATTTCATCATAATATTTTCTAGTAGTTTTTCATATTCATATTATCATGTTATCAGGAGTAAGATAATATAGGATTATATCTTATAGTTATATCCATTATATATTATCTTACTCCTGATGTTATTACACTTGTATGTCTGATTATTGTTTAGAAACATTTAATAATTTATTGTTTAGTAACATTTTATGTAGTTCTAAACTTCTAAGTAGATTTAAGTTTAGATCCAATACGTGCTGTGTATCGATGTACAGGAGATGTAAATAATATTTTTTATCCAACCTCTCACAAAAAATATTAGAGTCATGCGATAAGATCAGGAGTGTCATAATATAGACGGTATCAGTTAGTGATGTCCACGATGATCGATTATACTCCAATATCGGTTATCAAAATCCATAATCGATTTCATCAAAGAAAAAAAAGAAGAAAAAATAAATGTAAAACTTGAACAAGAAAACTTGGAAAAGTGATGAGAATCAGAGATATCATCGCTACTATACAAGTCATCCTTTATTAACATACATGTATTATACACACAGTAGTAAACAGTGCAAAACAAACAGTAAATAGGGCTAAACAAGCACATACATGCACACACATACAGGGCTTGAAACTAACCTAAAATGTTCACTAGCCAGCAGGGCTAGTGACCTGTAAAATCTACTAGCCCTTAAAAATATCTCCCAGCCCTTACTTTTCTGAAGTGCCGCGCTGAGGCTACGCAGTGAGTAAAATTTTGCCATTTGCGGGGAGGTGGGGGGGGGTGAGGTGGGTGGATCTGGGTTTTGATTTTAGACGCTCCGAGATGCATTCTGCGAAATTCCTTGACTGAAAATTTTGATTCA